AAACCCCAAAACCCCAAAACCCCAAAACCCCCAGTTTTGCACTACCAAATGAAACTATTGGTTTATAATATTCAAACATATGCTCCATCATCTAAACAAAGCTCCTAGACTTTCTCTGTGTCTTCCGTCTATTTTCTGCTCATTAAAGTCAAAATTACAAGTATTGATTTTATTTTTGAAGTTAACTTAAGTCTGAATGTATATTTACATGTATTTTAAGTCGTCTGAGCTCACCAAAATTTTAAAAGAATGAAAATATTTTTAAACTACATCTTCTTATAATATTCGCCACACAAATATACCAAATCTCCTAGGCTACGAAAGCGATTGCAATAATTCGGCTCAGGACAAATTTTTGATCGCAAAGAACAAATCCCTAAAGTTCCTAATAAATTTCCCAAAACCCACAGCTCCTTCCAAATGTTCAGCCTGGCTGTTTCAATACAGCAAGCTATCATCCTGAAAATTCTTCCGAGTAGGACAACGGCAAGCACGCATGAACTGGCCCAGCCCAAGCTTGGAGTTTAGCAGGGGCCGAAGAGATCTTAGACTGAAGAAGTAGCGAATACTATTTGTAACTATCTGTAGAGGTTCCACCTCTCCATTGAAAAATAGTCCTCATGAACTAATTCCATTCTTCACATTCATTTCAAATAGGTTTATTGAGGCCAATCCATCTGAATTCTTGAGCTTAGTAGAAGCTCTCGGAGTCATTTGATATGACACGAGGAAAAATTATGTACGAGAATAAATGCTAGCACTTGGCTCATTAATTTTAATTAAAATTTGAATATATTTAAAATTTAGTCGCCATCTTCAAGATTATTTTTAAAGCGAAGCGAGAAGGTACTAATAGTTCTGCATCTTACAGAAATAAATAGAACCAACCTGCCGATGGTACTATTGTGACCAGAATGGAAGCACATTTTTTGCTTCGTTGAATTTCATGGTTGAGGATCTCATCTTGTCTAAATTGTATTATTTTAGAGTTCAGGTTTGTACTTGTTTGATCCATTCGTTATAGATTTTCATATTTTTGCTACCAGAGGTGGTATCCTCAATGTATTGAAGGGATGGCTATTATGTATTCAATACCTACCACACAAAAAGCAACTCAAGTTCCATAAACCCCTGTCTTCCTCAGTACCCAATCCCTTAACCCCTCTAAACATCTAACTCAACCACTAACCCCTTTCTTGGGGTTTTGGGGTTTTGGGGTTTTGGGGTTTTGGGGTTTTGGGG